GCCGGGTTCTCCGAGAGGGGCGGAGGAATCGAACCTGGGTCGGCTGTGTGCAAGGCAAACGCCCTACCCGCTGTGCTATAGCTCCAGCCCAATCAACTAAATATGATGCATAATACTGGGATGGATCTAGATTGGTAGTCGGGAAAGCAAGAATGAAGATTGAAAGATTGAAACAACTGACATATTTGAATATAAACTTTGAATTAAATAGTATTTTATCAAAGTTTTAATTTTACCAAAATTAAATTCCTAGTTTTATTTTACTGAAGGATACTTTATCTTAGGAGACAGAGGACAATATTTAGAGGTGGGGGTAAGATGTCTCTAACGCAATCTCAAAATAGAAAATATACATGTGCAGAGACATACACACATACACATAGGAACACAGCTGTGGAAGAGAGAAAAAGTGAGAGACAATGATAAAATAAAACAAAATGTTAGCAGTTGGTAAATCATGATAAAGGCTATTTGGGGAGATCTTTGGTACTATTCTTTTACATCTAAACTCACTGGAAAATTTTACAAAATCTTAAAATAACCTAAAATTATCTTTGCCCCCTGATCATCTTCCAGTGTCCCCTACACCAAGAACTATACCTACATAATAGGACAAATTAAAGACCTAAGAGTTATCATAAATACTTCATTCTACCTCAGCCCAAGGGCTGGAGTGATAGCACAACGGGTAGGGCATTTGCCTTGCACGTTGCCAACCCGGCAGACCCAGGTTCGATTCTTCTGCCCCTCTCGGAGAGCTGGGCAAGCTACCGAGAGTATCTCGCCCACACGGCAAAGCCTGGCAAGCTACCCGTGATGTATTCGATATGCCAGAGTAACACGTGTCACAATGGAGATGTTACTGGACCTACTCGAGCAAATCGATGAACAACGGGAGGACAGTGACAGTGACCTCAGCCCAAATAAAACCCATCACCAAATCTAATTCAACTCCATCCCATTCTCAAATATCTCAATCCACATCTCCTTGGTTATCATTACTTTTCACTTGAATTACAATATTTACTTCAAGTTATTCTCTAGGAGAGCCAAAGTTTGTCTATTTCCCATAAGCAAGTTCATATGCCCCAATGCATCACCAAAATGCTAGAGTTGTTCATGAATTTCAACTTCATTAAAACTGAAGAACTGGGGCTGGAGACAGAATACAGTGGGTAGGGTATTTGCAGTTCAGGTAGCCGACCTGGGTTCAATCCCCAGCAACCCATTAGTCCTCCAAGCACTACCAGGAATAATTCCTGAGCAGAGCCAGAAATAACTCGAGCATCACCGGGTGGGTGACCCAAAAACAAAAGAAACAAAAACCAAAAAAATTAAGAGCTGAAATTCTTCTTCCAATCATCAAGGAAAGGATGATCCCAACCCTGCCCATCTTATGTCCCTGCTAGCCATGTGCCGTTCTTACAAACTACTCCAGCCTAGAGCCTCGGCATTCTGAGCACTGGTCAGAATGTTCTTTCTCCCTAGTCTGCACACTCTTTAGGCTCTTGCATGGCAGCAATCCAACTTCCCCCTTTAAATGAAAGGGGAAAAACTTGAAGCATTTTTCCTGCCTTTTCTGCACTTCAGTGGAACATACTCTTACTTTTCAATCTATTTAATTAAATTACAAAAGATGAGTAAGTTTGTAGCTTGTAAACGGTAAAGCTCAAATTTTAAGACAGTTTAGTCCAGGTATTGTTAAAAAAATGGTTAGAATAAACAGAACTCATAAGATATATTAAATAAAGCTAAGTATTTACTAATATGTTTGTTAAATATACAGAGATGGAAAACAAAATAATATTCATGAGGTTACACTATGTACCCAACACTAAAGACTCATGCTGCTGAGATTAAACAGGCAATGAGTACCAAACACACATGGACACTTAATATTCTTGAGTCCAAGAGGTGGTCACCTCTTGGTGACACCTATTCTGGCCCAATGTCCTAGGAATACAAAAACCAGGGCTTTCATCAGGTTCACAAGCATGCTACTGCTTGACAGGAGTGCTTATCCCATGCCTCTCTGACAGATCAACTTTGTCACTGGCAAATCGAACTGTGGACCTGCAGGTTCGAGTCTAAACTCTGGTCCCTAAGGCCATCCCATCAGTGGGGACAGGTATCATGGCAAAGGGAAACACATAGGAACATTGCACACCAAACAGCAGCTTGTATTTTACTCTAAGTGTAAAAATTTGTACAACCTCTTTCCTCTTGATTCTCATTGTCAAATGAGTTAACCATATGATTTAAGTATTTTTTGTTTGTGAGTCTTTATGTTCCCTGGGCTCTGGGGCAGTTTACATTGTAGTATATTAGAAGGCTACAACTTACCAGTGTAATAAAATAACGCTTATTTGGAAGGGGGGGGGGGGAGAGAAAGGGAGAGAAAAGTGGGAGAGGAAGGGAAAAGAGAGGTCAAACTAAACCCATGTAATTCTCTAGGTCAATCAAATTATAAGGAATACAGGGGACAAATGGAAACCTGTTACACCATGGGGAACTTTGCAGGACAAATACTCTGGTTTCTCCAGTAAACTGCAAGGCAAACAAAATGAATTTTGTGTATTTTTTTAATTTTTTTTGAATTTTGTGTATTTTGAAAGGGATGTTACATATGAATCTTATTTGGATACTGGCTGGAGCAACTAAACGGTAAAACAAAAAAAAAATAGATGGATTAATCAGAGAAACCTTAATATTTCTTAGTGGTATGCTATCAGTAAAGGCAATACTATGGCAGTTTTAAAAGACATTGCCAGGTCAAAGAGATAGTATAGTAAGTAAGGTGTTGGCCTTGCACGTAGCCAATCTTGATCCAAATCCCCACCACCACATAATAGCACCAACAAAGCATGTGGCCAAACCTCCCTCTCCAAATTAAAACATAAAAGGGGACCCCTGAGTTTCATATATGTATGTATATATGTGCTAAGATTTTCTTCAAACAATTAGTGAAGGTAAGGAGCTGTGTGGCAGAGGGTAGTTAACAGATGAATCAAGCCTGGCCACTGTTACTAGGAAGGCTGGGTGAAGAGTTCATAAACATTTACTACTACTCCACACATTCAAGATGTTTCTACAAGAACTGGCTTTGTTTGTTTAAAAGGGGGAAAAAAAAAGCAAACGTTGAATACAAACTTTCAATGATTAGGAAAGACGTTTGAATGTGATACATGAATGTGAAGTCTGGAAAACTATAGCCACTTGCTAACTCACAGGTGAAGGACACAATACAGGGAATCCGGAAAATGGAGTTGATCAAACCATTTCCAAATCTCATTCTATCTCAGAACTTTTCCAGTTATATGAATCAATATAACCTCTTTACTGTCTGAACTGGATTTTCTTCTATCACAAGTGAAACATCCTGATACAATCTCTAACTTTCAACTTCTAATCAATAGGTTCTGCCTCCACATTCCCACTGATACACTGTCATCAATGTCTTTGCTGCTAAATCCAATGAAGTTTTGGTCATGGTCACGGTCCTCCCGTTGTTCATCGATTTGCTCGAGCGGGCCCAGTAACGTCTCCATTGGAGACTTTGTTGTTACTGTGTCTGGCATATCGAATACATCATGGGGAGCTTGCCAGGCTCTGCCGTGCGGGCGAGATACTCTCGGTAGCTTGCCGGGCTCTCCGAGAGGGGCGGAGGAATCGAACTCGGGTCGGCCATGTTGGCTGCGTGCAAGGCAAACGCCCTACCGCTGTGCTATCGCTCCAGCCCTATGAAGTTTTGGAGACCTCTTCAATTGCTCTTTATATTCCTTTATCCTCAAATGTTTCTTTCCTTAGCCTCAGGTCCCATACAGGTCTGATTTTCTCTCTTCCTCTATTTTGCCGGTCCTCTTTCTGTCTTAAGTCCCCTTCTCTCATCATTTTTTCCTCAAAGTGAGTAGCAATTTTAATTTTTATTGTAATTAAAATTATTTTAATTATAAAATAAAATAATTTTAATTTTTATATTCTCTCATCCCTGAGACCTTCTAAGCGCCACGTAAGAATTTTCAAAGACCTAACGTACACATCAGCATTTTTTTTTTCTTTTTGGGTCACACCCGGCGATGCTCAGGGGTTACTCCTGGCTCATGCACTCAGGAATTACTCCTAGCGGTGCTCGGGGACCATATGGGATGCTGGGAATCAAACCCGGGTTGGCCATGTTGGCTGCGTGCAAGGCAAACGCCCTACTCACTGTGCTATTGCTCCAGCCCCAGCATTTTTTAAAAAGGGGGTTGGGAACAAAACCAGTGGTACTGGTTATAACCAGGAGCTGTTCCTAACTTGGTGCTCGGGAATTGCTCTTGCCATTGTTCAGGGCACCATATGCAGTGCCAGGGATCAAACTCACACGTACTACAGACAAAACCTGTGCTGTAGTTCACTGAGCTATCTCTCCAGCATTTTAGATATTCTTCAAACTCAATCCTGTTTCCTCCTACCCTTATCTCCAACACACATTAACTGGTTCTCTCTCATGGCCCCTCTTTTCAGTTAGAAAGAATCAGTCTTGGGGCTGGAGAAATAATACAGGGGTTAAGGAGCATACCTTCTATCCTGTGGATTTCAAATAACCAACACCACATAACAGGCCCTCCATCACTGCCAGGAATCACGCCTGAACAATGTCATTTATGGCCTTACACCCCCACAAAAAGGAATCAAACCTGAGGTTAAGAGAAGTGACTCAGTAATAGAGTGCCTGCCTCAAATGCAAGAGTCTTTCCTTGCGAATGTCTAATCAAACATCATTCATTTTTTAACCAGGGATACCATTCAAATTCTAGCTGCTCTCATCTCTCACCTGAGCCATGCTGACTTTTTGTTTGTAGAAATTTCATAACTCTTAGTTATTGCTTTCAATACATTTTTTGCTGTGCTTCTAAGAGATTTTATTTTACTGTAATAAAATATACATAACAAAACTAAGTGGCTGAGGCCATGGACTAGACCCTCATCACCAGAAAAAGAATTATCATTTTTTTCTCTACGGGAGAGTACAAATGCAGTCCCCCACTATCACAAATTATGCAGTTAGGTTTCCCATATTTGGGGAAATTGCAGGGATCAGCACATGTGGAGTGCAATGAACAAGTCTTACTGGGAAAACCACCTTGTGGTCATGGTACCTCCCCTGCCAGATAAATTAACAGATTACCATTTCAATAATTTCTAGACCCTTTGAAAGACAGACTTCTAATTAAGAGTGAATATAAGAGCTGAAAAATATATGGGAATGGACTTGCCTTGCATGTGGCCAACTGAAGTTCAATCCCTGGTACCCCACATAGTCTCCTGAGTCTTGTTAAATGTATTCCTGGGTACAGAGCCAGGATTGAACCCTGAGCACAGCAAGGTGTGGCCCAAAACCAACCAACCAAACAAAAAACAAGAGGAGGAAAGGGAAGGGAGAAGGAAGAGGAGGAGGAGGAGGAGGAGGAGGAGGAGGAGGAACAGGAACATCTGGCTTTAAAAAAAGTTTGAAGTCAGTAGTTTGGTATACAGGTGGGAAGGAAGGAGACATCACTCAGGCCTATCCTTTAATAGATTTTGAGTTTTCTATCTGTGCATGTCGCACCCATAGAAATATTTGTGTCAAAAATAAAGTCCTAAAAACTTAAAATAAAAAATTTTAGTACCTATATAGAAAAAAAGTGAAACTATTTTTGTAAAAGGACACTATTTGTTTTAAAATTTGTTATAAATGCAAAATTCTACAGGACAGAGAAAAAATTATGCTGCCATCAAAATAAAGGTGGAAAACAGGGCTGAAATAGACAGTCCTGAGAGCAGTAGTGGAATGCCAGTATAAAAAAAATGAAATTATCAGGGCTGGAGAGTATAGGAGTTAAGGGCTTGTCATGAACACAGCCAATCCCTGTTCAATCCTGGCATGGCATATGGTCCCACAAGTACCAACAAGAGTTATATCTGGGGCCAGAATTATAGTAATTGGGGAGGGCATTTGCTTTGCAGGCGGCTACCTGGGTTCGATCCCTGGCATCCCCTACGGTCCCCGAGCACTGCCAAGAATGCAAAACCAGGACTAATCCCTGAGCATTTCCAGGTGACCCAAAGACAAAAAAAAAAAAAAAAAAAAAAAAAAAAAAAAAAAAAAGAACATTGTGTCATTGTGTGACCTAAACACACACACACCATATCTTGATCATTTGATCACTTGACTTCCTGTTAATCGTCGATTTGCTCGAGCGGGCGCCAGTAACGTCTCCACTTGTCCCTGTCGCATGCTAGTGTAGCCCAATGGCGTCTGTTCGCTCTGGGAACATGAAGAGCCTCAAACCGATCGTTCATGATCTTGACGAAGAAGTCTGACCATCTGGTAGGTGGGCGGCCACGCGGTCTTTTGACATCCCGTGGAATCCAGTCAGTTACAGCTCTAGTCCAGCGGTCGTCTTTAAATCTCATTATGTGACCAGCCCATCTGATTTTTGACACCTTGGCAAACGAGACAGCGTCCCTGATTCTTGATCGTCGACGGATGTCGAACTCCAGATTCTTTCTCTCATTTGAGTGAAACGTGATATTCCAAGCATAGCTCTTTCAATTCCTCTTTGGGAGACCCAAATAGCGTTCTCATCCTGTTTGCGTAGGGCCCAGGTCTCTGAGGCATATGTTAATGCAGGAAGAACAGTGGAATCAAAGAGATGTGCCCAGAGCCAGAGGTTCTTCGTCCTCTTAGCTATTTCTTCGATGTTTTTGAAGGCATTCCAAGCCGCTCTCTTCCTCCTGCGTAGCTCGGGTGCCAGGTCATTTGTCATGATGACTTCTCGACGTAGGTACACGTAACTGTTGCATTCGGGGATGTTCATTCAGTTGAGAGCGAATGGGGCGTCAGGAACGAGGCTGTTTCTCATAAACATTGTCTTCGTAAGATTCAGCTGTAGACCGACCTTTCCACACTCACGGTCAAAGTCGGCCAGCATTTGTGCCGCTTGGCTGATGTTTGGTGTTATTAAGACAATGTCATCAGCAAAGCAGAGGTGGTGTAGTTGCCGACCATCTATCTTCACTCCCATTCCTTCCCATTCCAGTCGTTGCATGATGTTCTTGAGGGTGACACACCATATAAGTTAGCTATTTACAAATTTTCTTTTGTGAAGACAAATGACCTATCTTTTGTCCCAAGAGTTTCCATTTGAGAGACAGAAAATGGTATGAAAGAGAGGGCTAGGAATAGGGTGTGTAGCAATTTCAAGATAATTTGTAAAGATCACACACATGCATTCCCAGTAATCTATGTTTGCAAGCTATGGGTTGTGGAGTTGAATGTTTATCTCAAGAAAATAGAAAGTGATAGTTCATAAATTAGGCATGATAAAGTGGAGCTATGAAGGTTCAGAGAAAGCTTTGTTGGCTCTGTCACCCTATTCCTTGCTTGCTTTCTTTTCTCTAGTTTGCAGTGACAAGCATTTTCAGAAAAAAATGCAATCTCAGGTTGGGAAAATAGCTCAAAGGGCTACCGAGCATTCCTAGTTGAATCATGGGCACAAACCACAGCTAGTACCAACTCCTGAGCAAGGTGCCATCCCACTTCCCAGCCCTCAGCAGCCCCCAAAACTAGGTGCAGCCCAAAAATGGAGAGGGGTGGGGGAAAGAATAACCTCTCCCCACTCCTACAACAGCATACAGTAATATCTAAAAGCATCATTCTAAGTATGAAATAGATTGAGTCTAATATTTTGCAATTTGGTATTCTGAAGAACTTAAAGCAGCACAAAATACTTTTTATCATGATTATTCAGGAAGCCAGGAAACTGAAACAGAGTACTTTAAGAAAATGTTCCAGAAGAAAAAGGGCATATATGGGAGGAGAACTGGAAAGATACTGTTGTGCAAGAATCCAGTCTAAAATGTTCTGCTGATACCTGAGATGAGAGGAAGTAGGGAAGGCAGATGGAAAGGGAGGGAAGGGAGAATGGAAGGTTAAAGAGTATCACCATTTTATGTATATTTTATCTGTATACAATACAAAGGTATACTAAAGAATGTTTTAGAAAATTTTACTTTTTAATACAATAATGGGGGGAATTCACAGCATGGAGAAAAAAATATACTGATGAAGAATTAGTGTTTAAAAAGAATGGAAGAACTATGTAAACAGTTTTCAAACATAGTGGAATAGAATTAAATGTGATAATTTTGCAATTTACCAATAGAAATTAGTATTTCTATTGGTAAATCCATAAAGTAGTATATGTGGAAAACTAGAACCAGGGAGAGAGGAGGGAAGGCCCTAAAATGAGATCAATGCCAAATATATTCCATTTCTGTACTAACTAATCAAACAAAAATGCTGAAAAAGTAACTCACATTTGAAAGGTTTTTGTGCTCTACACCTTTGTTTCCAGTGTGAAAATGAAATTATAAAGAACACACAGAAAATTATGACAAAGCAGTGGAATACAAATTTGAATATCATAAAGCTTTTTTTATGATACTAAAGACACATTCTGATCCCACCACCTAAAAGCTAGATGATGAAGGGCATGTTATTTGACACCTCTAAACCTGTTTCCTCATTTTTAAAAAGGGCAAAGTATATATTTCCTAATTTCCAGTGGAAAGTTTGTAAAATCAGAATGTCAATACTTCATTTGTACTTTACCATATCAAAAACCTTACACTGAAGGTCTAGCTTACAAACTATTTTTATAGCAGTAGTTCTCTAAAGCTGGGGTCATTTGTCCAACCATGCACCCCAACATGTGGCAATATCTGAAGACATTTTTGGTTGTCACAACTGGAAGGAGGAGGTGCGGCTGGGAAAAGCCACCGTTATCTTGCAAGTAGAAGCCAGAAATGCTGCTCAACTCCTACAACACACAGGGTAGCCTCACAACAGAAAGTTATCCAGACTGCAATTCTTGCAGTTGGGAAAATTTGCTCAGAGTTTAGAAACTGCTTTTGAGTTTCCCAATTGCAAAAACTGTAGATGAAAAAAAGCTGCAGATGAAATAAAACATCCACTGGATAGAGCTGTTTTCAGAAGTAAAAGAAATAATGCAAGTAAAATGTTCAAAATTATACTTAGCAAAGAAATTATTTTAATAAATTAGAGAGGGGCAGGAGTGATAGTACAGGTGTGAGGTCATTTGCCTTGCAATGCAGCCAACCCTGACTCACTCTCTGGCACCACATCTAGGCACCACCAGGGATCACTCCTGAGCACTACCAGATATGGACCCCAAATAAATCAGAGTACCAATTTACCTTTTAGGCTGGATCTACACTCCTTTACTACAGAAACCTTTCCAGTCCAAGTGATCTTCGCTGTTTCCCTACAACCACCTGGGTTTCACAATTCCACGACAAATCACTTTCTCCATCCACAATGCCTACCCTCACTCACCTGACTTCCTTCAGACCTGCTTCAACTACACCTCACTTCAGACCTCTTCCTTCACAGATCACTGAGGCTGAAAGCGACCCCTTTTTTCCTCCTCCCTTTCTCTCCCTCTTTCATAGGCTACTTATGGTTATATGGTTCTTACAAAGTTGCTGAATTCTATAGTTATAACTATATACTTTCCACATCTCTCTAAAACACAAACTCTTAGAACAGAGGCAAGGCTTTAAAAACGGAGGCATGGGGTCCAGGCATGGAGTTCAGTGGCAAAGAGTCTGCCTTGCACTGTCACTGGGATTCCCGATGTGCACTGCAACCAAGTGTGTGCAGTCTCCGGCCATTACAACACAAGGGGAAGAGAAGCAGGGAGAGTTCAATCAAAACCTGCTGTGCCACTTAGCAGTAAGAACACTCTCCACAAAACTTTCTCCTTCCATGTCTTCTGCATCATTACACTTTCTCAATTCTCTGACCATTTCTGATTGCTTTTATTCTGCCTCCTTTTCCTCAGCACCCACAATCCATTTTAAGTATTCACTAGCCTAGATTCTGTCTCAAACTTCTTTCCCTCTATGATCTCATCTGTCCCAATTCAATTACAATGCTACATACAGAAGATTCCCAAATTGTGACTTATAACTATTGCTCATAATTATTTTTTGTTCGTTGTTGGACGTTTGTTTTTTCAATCATACTTCATACCTACATTTATAGCTGTCTAGTTCATGTGATTTTTTTTAGATAGCTCAACAGATCAAGGTCAAAGTTTCCAATATAAAAAC